AGATACACGAGCTGACAGACATCAGAAATGTATTAAAAAGTCTGCACGCTCCCTGGTCAAACCTGCTAGGCAGAAAACATAGAAAGCCCAGGACTTTTGCATTACTTTAGGCAAAATCAGTGAAGTTCTGCTCACTGATGCAAACACTCCCAATGTTTTGAACTTGATCAGATGTCATGTTTTGAAGTTATCACATGCCACATAGATGAACAAAGAAAGGATACCAAATGCGCAGCTGTCTAAAGTTGGCAAAACAAAGCAACAAGAAATACACCACATGACCTTTTCATTGACATAGTCAAGACTAAACAACGGGATCTGGCCATGTTTTGATTTTGTTACAGTATTTGTTGATGCCCTTTATAGTCCTCACTCCATCTTTGACAAGTTCACAGACAATTGAAAAGATTGTCCCAGCATTCTCTGAGAGTTTGTACAGGAGCATGGGACAAAGATTACTTGGGCACAGTCAGGCAGCACAAGGCACAGAATGCCAGTTAAGTCAGTTCAGGGTTAACATGTATATTTCTGTAAATTTCCGCCTCACTAATGAAGAAGACTACAGATTTTGCTTTCTCTCATTTTCAGTCTTCTTTTTTTTTTTTTTTGACCTGACAGAGGAAATGGATTCATAATATTCTGCTGTAATGTGACATGCAGAGCTGTCAAACTGTGACACTTGGGATGAGTGAGACATTTAAACGTCAGAAATTCAATTTTTAATGGCACACTGGCAACACAGACCTAACACTTCATCACAAGGATGACACCTTCTAAAAGCCATTTTAAAATAAATCAGAGTGGGGATGTGCTCCTTCGAAAAAAGTATGCATTTAAACAAGTTTCAGGAATGAGGAAACTGTATGACAGTTTCATTATTAGATCAATAAAATTCAGGAGATTTTGGTGAGAAGGGATTCCAGTGTGTGTGAAGATGCAGCTCAAACCCACATAATCTCGAGCTGCTTAAGTGACCTTCATCAACTTCTCGCTGTACAAACCACACATTCTTCTTACATCTAAAAGCAATTCAGTTTGCAAAAGCCCTCAGAGACCTTTAGACCAAGGGCTTGTTGGCAATCCTGGATGGAGAATGGGACTGCACTTACCATCCCACAGGCTCCTGGTGTGCAGCCACCCTCGGAGGGCTCCCCAGAAGACAATGGCACACGTGTCCTGCTGCTCTTCCGGACAGCGAGGGACTGACTGGAGTTCCACCACCAGGGAGACACCAGCCTTGGTGCCCAGGCCAAGGTGGGCTCTCGCCAAGGTGGGCTCTCACCAAGGACAAGAGCAGCTCTGGACACTAGGACAATAACTCAATAAAAAAAAATGAATAGAGAAAGAAATGAATTAATTTGTGAAAGAAAAAGTAAATCCAAAAATAGAAAATAAAGAACAGAAAAAATACTTGGGGTTCAGTCTAATGATCCCTAAACACCTCTGTGCAACAGAAAATTATTTATTGCAGTGCTGTAGTTTCTAGTAGGGTTATTGGGGTGTTTGTTTGCTTGTTGTTTTTTTGTAAACTTGCAAAACTAAATCAACTGTCAATGAAGTCCAACTGGCTTGTTTTCTCTCACATGAATGGGTTTTAATTAAACTTTTACTTAGACAGCAAATCAGGAAACAAATATGTTCTGTTTCAGATTGCAATGACAGTCTTCACACTTTGTGATGAAATGGTTGTCAATAAAATGAAGAACAACCAAGTGACTCTGTTTCCTGCTTCAGTGTTAGAATTTAAGCTAGTATACAGCCAATATCAAAATCATTCCTTCAAGGTTTTGTTTTTTATATTTGGAGCAACCTGAATGTATAATTTGAAGATATGCCTTTGTTATATTTAAAAGCCTCAATTCCTCCAGCCGCCCCCAGCAGCTGGTATTATTTATAGATAAGGATATAGACCTGGCTTATACAAACACCATCTGATGGGAACAGGACCTCTGATAGCTAGACAGGGTGCAAAAGACAAAGTTGCAATCTTGAAGACAATACAGATGTAATTAAGGCATTCCTGGGTTTCTCAGAGTATTGGGTTTTTTTCTGCTCTGCATTACTGTGTACCTGTTGTCTAAAGGAAGTCATAGAACTAGAGGATGAGGTGAAACTCTTCGTATCTCAAAACGTCTTTTAGGCAAATTAGCTGTGCCAAAGCACATATGGATTCACCACTGAAATGGGTAGTGGATGCAGCAACTCCAACAACACAACAAGCAAGAGCTCTTTGTTCTCACTGTTTCTAATCCGTGGACATTTCTTATGCTCCTGAGCGAGCTCCAGAAAGCACTGTCACACACAGGAAGGAACTGAGTCACATCACTCTATCACACACTTCCAATGATTCCTTTCAAGATCAACTGCAAAATCTACCCCAAAATTATTTTAATATGACCCATAAGTTCTTTTATATATAACTTTTTCTCTCAGCTGTTCCACTACCATTTAGCAAGGATATTCCTGGTTCCTCATACAAATTCAGTATTGATTGAGATCCCACTCCTCTGTACCCTTTGCCTCCTGCTTCAGTAAACATCTCTTCCTATTTCTTGTGTGCTTTATAAATTGCTTTTGGAAGAAAAGTAGAGATTGAATAAAAATTTCCCCTAAGTTATTTGTCAGCTCAGACTTTCACTTACGAAATCTGAACTTCATTTTCTGATATATACATTAAAGCTTCAACCTCAGGTGTTCTATTTTAATTGCCTGCTATTTTCATTACTGACCATGAGGGCAGCAAATGCTCTTCAGAAGATACTTGTATTTTAATTTATCTGCAAACATAAATCACACATTATAGCACTTTTTTCCTCTAGGTTAATTGAATCAATTCTCTAAATGTCTCTATGCCTGACCATTGCAGAAGGCTCACTGGTTGAAATCTCTTTAAGAATTATGGCCCTTGAGCTGTGTGCAGGATGAGAGCAGTCCTTGCTCCAGACAAAGCTATATTATACATAGAAAGTAAAAAGGTATTGTTATACTCCTAAGCAATATGATCTGTAAAGCAACACCCACAATACTGTTAGGATCCTCTAAAATACTATTTTAGAATTTTTCATGTATCTCAGTGAATCGTTTCAATATCAAAAATTTTATATTCAGACTCAAACAATTCTTTATATCTTAAGTTATAAATAAACAGAATAAAACCTACTTTTACTTTCCTTATTTTTACATAACATTTAACACCAGAAAAAATGCTGATATAAAGAACAACCCTTTTATTACTGAATATTCACAAATGTCTAATGAAGAAAACTTGATTTAACACTTTTTTTACTAAAAATGTGTCAAATAGATAAATTTTAGTAAAATGAGTCAAACAGATCAGCTTTCTTACCTGTGATATTGGCCATTTTATACACAGTAGAACTGTTAAATGCTGGCAAATTAACAGTTGGTAAATTTACAAAATTCACAAAAGGAAGAGACCTAAAGGGCAGAATAATTTGTTCAAGAAACAGGGATGCAGATATAGTTGGTAAATTTACCAGTTCTTGCTAAAATTTTGGTAAATTTATAGCAAATTTAGTCCAAAACTGAAATGCAAATGTAAGGATTTAAGTAAGCTTCAAATAATTCAGTGAGAGTGATAAAGCAGAAAATACTTGAAAAAGTTGTGTGTTTGACTCACTTTATAACTGGGTCAGTCTCAAAAATTAGCATTTTAGTTTAAGCCAGCAGCTGAAATGTCACCTGTCCCTCAGTGGCCAGAGTGACCTCACAGCACTGTGAAGAGCATGTGCTGGTAACTGTGAACTTACAGGGAACATGTTCTTGGGTGTAAGGATTTTATTCTGAATTTAAATGCAAAAAAACCTTTCTGTTTTGAATTTCTCTTCAATTTACCTGTTGAAATTTATTATTTGTAAAACACATTGAGCCTCAAATGGATTGACCTTCTGCTAATGTATATCACCTAATGAATGGATGCAATTAACTAATTCATATTGGAATATTGCACTTTCCAGCTCACATTCATCATCACTAAATGTGTGATCTGGTTTGCAAGTTTAAATTTTTTATTATTACCCTTTAAACTAAAGAAATAAGTCTTGTATTTAATTACCTGAACTTACATATTCAATTAATAGCTTCATTACCTTAATGAACATAGATACCATGCAGAAGTAACAAAAGATTGCTGCTGGGTCTGCTCCCAAGTATACCCTATAAAGGGTCAGCTATAACCTCAGAACACCTTTTTTTTTTTAATTAAAATTTCTTGATTGTGGAATTTCAAAGGAATTGAAAGGGCCTGGCAATCTAATATTCTTATACTGGGGTCTGAGATAAATGTATCATCTATGTTCTAAATATTTAACACATAAAAGGAATCCCAGAAGCAAAACGTGTATCAGGAAAACCAGAGGATTTAAACGTGAATAATTCTGAATGAAAGGGAATTAAAAGAATGAAAACCAAGCAGACTGACAACTCACCTACTAAATGATGAGGGATGAGTGGAACATGGAGGCAAAACAAACAAATGCTCTTCTTGTGGGAGAGGAGACAAAGCACTGGGAGCAGCAGCTCTTATAGAATATTCTTCTCTAACAGAGGGTCAGATTGTGGCTGGATGGCTTCTTTGGAGGGCCAAGTAGAGTGGGAGACAGGTGAAAGTAGGTGGGTTGGTGAGTCAGATACAGGAAACACTGTCACTTTCCCAGTGGAAATCAGGTTTTAGAACAGTGAATTAACCGTCCTAGTTAGCTCCATCTATTTGCCAAACACACAACTTTCCTTTTGTGTGTCAGTAGAGTCAAATCTGTCATTATCTTTGGCTTTCATGTTATATTCCTTTTATCAGCTAGGTAGGCTCAGATCTCCTCCTCTTCACCACCCTACAAGTAGCCTTAGTAAGTCTCAGGGCTGCTATAGGGAACCTGTGCTCTATAGAATGATGAAAGGTTTTGATAGCATGTCCCATTCAGGTTGAGAAACCACAGGCTTTAGACGCCTGCAAAGTCCACTGGATATACTTTGAGGTTTTCTTCATGCTGCATTAATATATTTAGCAAGATGCCTTTTGTCTTTAATAGCAAAGCTATTTCACAAAAGGGAATATGCAGAAAAAAAGAGCAGGGAATTGGCTAAAACAAAGCATTTGTCTGTACTGAATTGATCTATGCCTTAAAAGCAAAATTCTTCTTATACTGAAACAGTTTCTCTGGATGCATTCAGGAGTAAGACTTGCCCATATCATAACCCTCCAGATAAGCTCCTCCTAGAGCTGAGAAGGCAGCACAGCCCAGTGCAGCTGATAACAGCTGTGCACGTAAGCATCTGTCCAGCATTGCCCTGACACTTCCATGTGGTGCCAGCACTGACACCTCTGTCATGGGGCCCTCTGCAGTGAAATGTTAGCTATGCCCCTCTGTGCCAACATGGCTGTTGAGAGATTAAACTGGCTCAGAAACTCTCAGGCAGGGCCTGTGTTACACATACAAGCTTTGAAATTCACTATCATTTGTACAACTATACATAACATATATGTGTGTATCATCATGTGTGTTTGCACGAGTTATGCACTGAGGCCTAATGGTGTGCCCAGACAGTCAAGAACAAAGCAAAACCCTGGGTCCTGCTTTAGAGAAAGTCCAGTTTAGTTATCCCTGAAATGAGTGTTAGCAACAACAGACATATATATGCAAAGATTATGAGCAAAAAGCTTGAAGCACACATGTGTGGTGAGGGTTTGAGCTCATATTCATGATACAGACAGAAATGTTTTATCTGGACATTGAGAAGAACAAATTCTCAAGGGGTCTCTTTGTGTACCCTGCCCCTCCTCCAAGGTGGGCTTAGCTAAAATTGAGCTGTACATTACAGATATTTCTCACCTTGAGAACTTTTTCACAGGGATTACAGCAGAGATAGAAGGGTTATCAGAAAATACAAGAACAAAAGAAATAGAGGGTTTATGTACTAAAACACTTTGAATGCTGAATTGCAATGTGTTCAGATCTTCTTCACCTGAATTTTTTCTTTGACTTCCCGAGCAGGAGAACCAATCCGTAAAACAGAGAATGCCCCTTATCTACCATGCAGCATTTCTGTATGAAAATTGAGATATAAATTAGGCAAAGGTATTTGACCAGGGATCTGAATTAGAGGTACACATTCAGAGTTAGTGTAATTCAACTAAAATCAGCAGACTTTAAAAAAATTTGGTCCATATTATTACAAAAAATATATAGTGTATTTACAACCTTGGTCTCTCCAGCTGTGTTGGTTTAGGTTTTATTACATCAGTAATAACAATTTATGTGATACTCTGAATAATGTGCTATTAAAAATTCAGTACACTATATATTGTTACCCATGGGATTTAAACTGTGGGAGCTATGTGCATTATTCTCTACTTTGCTATTTCTATAGGAGTGAAGATTACTATAAAAATGGTTAGGTTATATACATCATGTGAATTCCTGCTCTGCTTGAATCCAGGTGAAGAGAAGAAATAGTTCAGTCCAGACTGCCTTGGGGGTAAGGGTCCCAAGAGTCTTAGTCTTGCAATCTAAGGTTACACTGATCCCACATTCAAGCATGAAAATAATATCAATGTGCTTTTTGATGTATTTAAAGGATGCTAGTAGATTTGTGAGGCATAACCTCCCTTAACAGAATCCATTTGATGCTTCTACAGAGCGTCAGCTTTATCTCTGTGTCTATTGATTTTACTTTTTACAGCAGTTCATGTAATTTTCCTGGCACAGAAGTCACACTGACAGTTTTGTAGCTCCAATGATCACCTTTGAAGGACACTCTTGAAACACCAGCAGATCACTGGTATATTTCCTACGTTCTGTTTTGCTGACATTAGGATCAGGATCAGCAAAAAACCAATCCACTGGCACAAGGCACTTGAAAAGCTGAGCATTTTAATCCCTTGACGGAAATACTGCACAGCTCCAGCAATTGGTTACTGGTTAATTTATCAATTTCTTTTGAAGTGTTTCCTGATGACAATTTATTTTAAAACAGTTGCTCACACTCAGCCCACCAAATCTATCAAGGCAAGTAATTCTCTTAGCTGTGGACATAGCCACACCGAATGCTTCTTCTGTGCTTCCATCCTCCATGGCTTTACTCACAATCTCACAGGACTCCTCTGGTAATGGCATTTGAAAACATTTAGACTGTTACTTTCACATTCTTGGCAAAACCTTAAAATCTTTTTGGTGAACTTTCTTGTGGTTCTACATTTAATAATGTATGCTCCTTACTTACTTACGTAACTTCCATTTTTGGAAGATGTCTTCATTTCCTTCCCTCAGTTGTCAATATTTATGGGTGGCACTGCCAGTATCACTCCGACTCTGGGAGCAGGGCCAGGTGAGGGAGCAGTAGAAAACAGTAATCGCAGTGCATTTTCTTTCCCATTTTCAACCAGATGTTCCATTGCATACAACTAAAAGGCAGTAAAACAGAAGATTAATCAAATTAAATAGCAAAGTAATTAAATTAATCAAAGTAATTAACATCAAAGCTTTCATGGTGTTTATCTTTACACTTTGTCTTTCTTAAAATGCTACATACATATTTGTTAAATTTGGTAAATGTCCTAGAATCTCTTTCTAAATAGAAGAAAAGGAGAAAATTCAAATGTTCTGAGCTGCCCCCTTTTCTCTTCGAAAAGTGTGGCAATACCTTTAAATTGCCACCTGTCAAAAGCTGGAAGGATTTACTAAGGTCATCTCCTGTGTATTCTATTCTTCAATATTTTCTTAGAGCATCTACTTGAATCTCATTATGGAGCTGAGGAGAACCTTTGGTCTAACTTAGCATCACATAAAGTATTGAAGAAAATCTGATAAAAGCAAATGTGAAATAGATGTATTTGTGCCAGTTCTCCACCCTGCAAAGACAGAAAATTCATATAAGAAAGCCAACATGATCTGATCAAATGAGTATGAATTTCTGTCTCTGACATGTTATTACCCCATTATTAGTTGAAAAATAGCATTAATGTCTTCATACCTGCCATGAGACCAAATTCAGAATTATCTACGTACTACTTTGTGAGCAAGACTTGCATCTGCGTACGAGAAAGAATGACTACGGACAAACAACTAAAAATTGCTTTCATAAACGAGTTTAATATATTTATCATTTCCCTGAAAGAGAGGAAGTGGCTTATCTCATTCCTGCTGTAATGAACACCCTCCCAGGCATCCTCCCTCAGTTCAAATGTATACATTATTCTGAAAGACTTCTCTCACAGACATAGCAAACATGTACTCTAGCACGCTGCGATAATTAAGGTCCTGAGTAATATGTTTGTTTCTCAGTGGTGTGGGGTAAAGGCTTTCAAGCTGCCATACACAGGCTATTCTCGGGGGCTTCCAAAGGGCGGGCCCAGCTGTCTGTGCCACAGGCAGGACCTGAAGAGCAGGACTGGAGCTGTCCTGCAGCAGTGTCCCCGCCTCTGCCCAGGTGTCCCCGGCTCAGGCAGCACCAGCACAGACGCTGCCATCTGCTGCTCCATCAGCTCCGGGGGCTCCACAGCCCAGCGACTTCAGAACCACCTCAGGGCACAGTGCTGTTTGGATGCAGAGAGAGAGAAAGGTGAGTAAAAGGACACAGTAAAGTAGTTAAGGATTAAAACTGAGTGGTGGGGGAGAACTGGGTGGTTAAGAGATGAAGCTGGTGGTCGTAAGGTGACCACTGCTGCAGGGAACACACATCAGAACCTAGCTGGAGGCTAGGAAGAACACTGATGGGATAACAGAAATGACACATCTCCCTAACCCTGTAAGGCTCTGCCCTGTTTAGGACAGATACAAACCTCAGCTGCACTGAGCAGCTACAATACATGCCAAAATAATCTACCAGAACTGAGGTTCTGGTGTCAAGTCAAATGGGAGAAAATCCTTGTGAATCAACCAGGCAGTGTCAAGTCTGTATCACATCTGATAAAACTGTTCAAGATGATGAAGAAATAAAGTTGTAATATTTTTCTCTAGGAGGCGCAATTCTTTGAGAAATTTGTCAACTTCAAGTCTTAAGACCATAGAAAAGAATATTATAATGGTCCATATTATAGCATCTATGCACTTTTAAACGAAACATATAGGAAATATATAGTCACTCAGTGCTTTACTTTCCTGTTCTGCCTTGTAGGGAGCCACTGGACTGAAGCAGACTTTATTAAATGTTCCTAATTTATTCTGCCTCGTTGCTCTTTTATAAACAGGGAAGTTCACTAGAGAGCAAGACATTTAGTCCAAAAAGAGTATTGTGAGTGAATATGCAAATTCAACACACATCACCAAGGTAAGATTCCTCATTAGCCACTGAAATATCTCAGAAGTTAAGGGCTTTTGTATGCAGGCTACAGCACAGCATTCTCCCAAGCATTCACTCTCTTTACAACCTCCCCTTGAAAAATTCTTTGACAGCCAATAGTAGCGTGGTTTAAATCCCAATCTAGGTCAGAGAGAAATTTGCAACTATCTTTTGGTTCCTTACTTTGTGGTTTATCTTTTTGAAACAACATTTTATTCATTCTTACTAGGATTAAAATAAAATAAAGTAACATAGGAACTGTAATGATTAATCCATTCTGTAAGAAAAAAGAAGAAATCTCATTGTGAACTTACAGGTATTATCTAACCAGTATAAATAGAAGTGCACTCAGAGAAAGCACAGAATGACAAATCCATGATGAATTGTTAGGGCATGTTGAGTTGGTTCTGCCAATGCCTGCAGTCAGATGATTTCACTGGCTGTACAGGATGAAATCTCATATTTCAATGTTTAAGTAAAAGTGTCAAAGTTCAGCTGAAGCAGGGACGAATACAGAACAAATTTTGTGTGTATTTGTAACTAGGGCACCAGAGCAATAGAGGAAGCCAAAATGAGCCGGAAAAGCAAAAGGAGTTTAAAGGAGAAATTTTCCTTGAAGAACAGCCTGGCTAAAGAAGCCCTCTCAGAGTTCCTGGGAACTTTTATACTGATAGTAAGTGTCAGCTGCTTTCCTTTCTTCCTACTAATTTAATGTTGGACAGTGCTTATAAGGGGACATGTACGTTTTTCTTGTACTGTGCCAGCAGCGAGGTTACAGCCTGACCATGCACAGCCTGAATGAATTGCTCTATAACGGTAAGTTTGTAATTTCTTTCTTCACCCCATGTAATTATCGCTGCCTATAAAAACCAGATTGTTTTATGTATTAGAATTGTCTGATTGGCATGGATTTCATCTAGGAGCAGAATTTCAGTGAAGGAGCACATTCTGAACAATCCAGATATGCACAATGAATGTTGTTAATACTCTCCTGTTTTTTAAAAACTCAGCAGTTCATTTTATGCACAAATTCTGTTGAACATATTGTACCGCATGTTTAGAAAAATTCGGTTGAGTTTCAGTTTTCCTGTGCAACATAGGAATTTAGCTTTGTGGTTTGTAGTGAATTTATTGGGAAATACAAAATCTCAGAAGGTTTGGCAATGTAAGTTAACCATTTTTTGTTTTATTTTTAACTGTACTACATAATTTATGCGTATGTTGCTTGGTCCTATAGTACTGCTACAACTTAGGATAAATACCTAAATTTCCGATTTTTTATAACCCCAGATTTTAAATTTATTTTTTTTACCTGATTTCTTGCTCAGTTTTTTGTGCATTTTGCAGTGGGACTGTGACTCACCAGGAGAGAGAGCAGGCTGTGTAGCAGAGTTAGAAGTCAAGCAGCTAGACTATTTATGGCAAACTCTCTTTCTCCTTTTAGTCTGGACAACGCAGGCTTGTTTATTGCTAAATATTTCATCATAGTTGAAAAGACAAAAAAAGGCATCTAGCACAATACTGACATAGGTTTTATAACTGTAACTATATTAGCTAAATTTCAAGTAAGTCATCTAAAAATTCCAGTAGCTCATAAAATACTGGAAATTATGGTCTTTACTACACTTCTGCCAACTGAAGTACACTGGCACTAAAATAACATTATTCTCAAATTTAATACCATCCATAAGACATTATTACAGTAAGGAGCACATTTAGAGGTAAGGAGCACAGAGCACTTTACAAACATTAATGAATTAAGTGTCACAACACCCTGGTAAGGAGGGGAAATGTCATTATCTTCATTTTGTATATTAGCAAACCTGATTACAGCAGCCTGCACAGGAAGCCTGTGGCAGAACTCTGAATATAACCCACATCACCTGACTTCCAGTACTCTGTCCTCACCACAAGACCCTCCTCCTCTTTCCATTAATAAAATTAAGCAAGAGAAGAAAACATATTAAAGTGCAGATTAGATTGCAAATGCTATTATTTAATGTCCTGCTGCACAAGGCTGGAAAGGAAATGCAAACCCAGATCCCATTTTCCAGTATATTCTCCATATGAGTATAGCAGCTACAAAATTATTGCTGACGATTTGAGTTTCTCATTTCTCTTACCTTTTCCAGTTTCAGCCTTGGTTTAAAGCAGAAAGAGCCTCACCTGGATTAAACTGCAGCTTTCTCAGTGCTTGGATACCTCAGCTTGTTCAGACTGCACAAGTTAGCAGCAGTACCAAGTGTTTATTGTGAAGAAACTGCCTGTTCTGCTGTTATCTTAAGCTGTGCAGGGGAAGTTTGGGTTACACATCAGGAAAAAAATTCTTCACTGCAAGAGTGATTGGGCACTGGAATCATCTACCCAAGGAGGTGGTGGAGTCACTCTCCCTGGAGGTGTTTAAAAAAAAATTGGACATAGCACTTAGTGCCATGGTCTAGTTGTTGAGGTATTGTTAGGTGATAGGCTGGACTTGATGATCTCAAAGGTCTTTTCCAATCTAGTTTGTTCTGTAATTCTGCGATTCTATTTATTCTGTTGCTTTTAAGCTTTGTCAGCACTTAAAGTACAGATAAATATTAGACCCTTAATTTAAACTGGAGCTAATGAAAGGGGCACCCTGGTAAGTCAGAGGACAGAAATGCTAGAAAAACAGACAGCATGTATGCAAAAGAAGTTACAGTAATAGGATAGTGTAAGAACTATGTGTTAAAGCTGTTACAAATCAAGAGGAGAGTTCACGGCCTTGATTCATGCCTTTGCTGAAAGCCATTTCATATGGCTGTGATGGGGTTTAGAGACTGTGGAGAGCACCTGTGCCAGGAAGCAAGGCTGAGAGTGCATCTATGCTAGCCACAGGCTCTGTCTGGAAACCAATGTTAACTGACCACACCTAAATCTGGGACCCATGGCTGGGAGTTAGCCGGGTGAAATGCTGTCCCTCTAAATCACCTATTTCTAATTTTTCTGGAGAATAACATCACAGGCCACAAACTAATAGGAGTCTAAACTACCATCTTGGTAACTCAGCCTTGCAACATTACCTTCCAAACAGGAAATCTAGAAAGTGGAATCACTCATCAGACAAAAACCCAGCCTTCACCTCAGGCTGCGAAGGGTGCGGCTGCAATGTCGGACAGATTTGACACAACAAGCCCTGAGAAAGGCACTGGGCACACAGTGTGGATAATAGCGCCTGGTCAGCCCTATGTAACATGCTGCAGTTTGCTTTGCTGCATGGACTCAGAGCACGTAGACGAAATTCTTTCTGGGTGAAAATAAAGCAGAAGGTGAGAATCACACAAAATGTGCTGACCATTAATGGATGCTCAGTCCAGTGGATCAGACTGGAGGTGCTCTAAATAAATAATCCCTCCTGAGAGATCCACAGTCAGGTTCTCAGCTTACACAACTTTACACATTACACAACTTGATAATACAGGCACAGCCCAGGTAGAGAGAGCCACAATCTCTGCTTAGAAAAGCACCCAATTTTGGTAAGAAACGCGAAACTCCAGGAGCCTGGAAGCATCCTTAGTTGGGAGAACACCTGCCTTTGCACCATGGTGGCTGAGAGCCAGTGCACACACAAAGTTCCCAGCCTCAGACAATCTCAGGCCTGTGTGACTGGGACTGTCCTCAAGGTCTCCCTTGAGGAAGAGCTCTCTAGGGAGCTTTTTGTTCATCATGTTTCCTGGTTCAGTACATTTCCTCTTGGGATTTCTGAGAGTTAATCTGGGGAACAACACCTGTGTGCCAGCACAAAAGAGTCAGGAAGCCATGCTGCATTAGATAAATGGTTTGTGTGGCTTTTTAGTGAGCCTGCCTGGAACTCACCTATCCAACTGCCTCTCTGCTTTTAATCATGCTTCTCTCTATATTTCGTCTTTGGAACTTGACTGCATTGCTCTCAACCAAAATGGGATTTACTCTGACTTATGCCATTAAGTGTATCTGAATTGAAACAGTTCCAAAAATAGATGCCAAATAGGCCATGTGGCTTCCTTTAACAGCTACTGCTCACCTAATATAGCTTGGATTTCATTTTCACTCTCAAGAGCATCTTACTGAACAGAGTTTCCCAGAAAGGAGCTGCACAGGAGCCAGAATCTCCCGAGGCCAGAGCAGCATACACTTCCTTGCTGAGACAAAACACAGGCTTCCATTTAGCATATAAATACAAGTGGGGAGTATATATGCTCCTAATATGTACATATATATATTCCTATGCACATATCCCTGGTCTCCCATTGGAGGTGGGGGAGCCTCTTGCAACTCCCATTGAAGCAAATGTTTGTGTGTGCTTAGAGGATTCAGAGCACAAGCATGAACTGAATGCACAACAGCCCTGAAATAGTCCAGCTAAATGAGGAAGGCTATTTATCATTAAAGTATTTTAGTCTTTTTTTCATATTCTGACTGCTTCATTATGCAAGTAATCTCTCCTGCTCTGTTGAGTATCATCAGAAAAGTCTTCAAGATTGGCATTACATGGATTTTCTCAGTCCATACGATTAAAATTTAAACAACTTTTCTATATCTACTTTTTGTGTCCCTACATTCCAGTGCATGCTAATTACAATACTGTAGGATAACATATATCCCTTTTTCTAAACATTCATTAGAATTCTCACTACATTATGTTATTACATGAAAGCAAACATAGCTTTTGATCCTTTGCTCTTTAAATAAGTGTTTAACATTTAACGCAGAGCTACTACTTAGAAATTTTAAACGAAGATAAATTCCAAGTTCTAGATTTTTGTGAAAGGGAGACTTTTATTTCTATAGGATGAAATTACAGCAAGTTTTGTCTAAGGTAAGAAACTAAACATCAGCATCTTCTAACAGCTGCCTTGTTTGTCATCAGCAATCAATTTCCTGGAGCAGAGAATCTTGTATAATTAGCTCTTAGTGAACATAAGTTTATCAAAGCTAGAAGGTATTAAAACTTATTTATAATTGGTATTTATAAAATTATTTATAAAATTATAAAATATTTATAAATTGGTATTTATAATTGGTATTTTGATTTGTCACTCAGCTTTTAAAATATTAGATAATGCTACAAATACCATGAGCCTTAGTGCTTGCACTCTGAAAAGCAGCTCTTATGTCAGAGATGCATACATTTAGGTCTCTAGCAGCAATAATACTGTACAACCAATAAAAAATAGAGGCCACTCATGAATCTAATGTTATATAGCTGCATATATTTTGATGGCATTACATTTTGCCAATGATTCTGGTGAAGATATACAAACTCTTCTTCTTTTTGAAACTACATAAAATCAGCATTGCAAACAGAAAACAAAGTGGCAACAAAGACCCTTAGCTGTACTAAGGCTAAGGAGGTGTTCTTACATACTCTGGAGTTATTTTTATAATCTTATTATTATCAGAATCAGGCTATTTCTAGATAGTCCTTCTGTTTTAGAAGTCATTCTTTAATTCAGCTGAATATTTAGCAGTGTGAAAAATTTGAAAGGAAGGTTAGCTAATTGTTCTTTTACCCCAAAATATTTATGGTAGCAAATAATTCTGAAAAATCATGGGAATCTTTTGTTTTTCATCCAAACATAGGTTTCCCAGTATATGACATTTCAAAGTTTTAGGTGACTCAGATGTTGTGTTACATGAAAGCTTTGAAGAAAATTATCATCATTTCTGCAATGTCAGCCCCAGCAGTAACTCAGCACTCATTGTTTAACCAAGAGGTTTCAGTAAGTTGAGCTTAATTTCCCAAAACTTTTTTCTGTGGATACCCTTTTCCCCAGAAAGTTTACATCCATAGGTCTAAAGTGTAGGCACCTCTGCCTGGGACTTACAGTAGTCTTGCATCTCTCCAACATTCAACTGTGAGTGCAAAACTTGAATTTATGTTTTACAGACACAAATTTACAAGGTGTTTTTTCAAAAGTTTCACCAAATAAAAGAAAGGTAATAAAAGTAATAACTTTTTAAAGCTGTCATAAACAGTTGGAGAACAGAATAAAAGACAATAAATGGAGTTTGTGCTATGCAGTGAGTTTATATCTTTGCAATCTCAACAGTTCAATAAACCATTCCGGTTGAAAGTAAATTCTAGAGAGCTCTCTAATCCATGGTCCAGTTTAAAGGCAAACGGGACTCAGTTCCTCTAACCCATTCCTCACAGGTTTCTATACCATTAAAAGCATTCAGCTTTCTTTTTTTTTCCCCAATAGGAAACAACTTAGGCTTTAATTACTCCTTGCCATGTACCTCTACCCGTGAGGGCACAGCAAAGGTCCAGCCCCCCTGTTTCTGCACCCAAAGGAACAAGTAAAAGAAAAGGTGTATGTACCCTTATACTCCAAGGAGAGGACAGAAAACCTCCTTTTCTGAGTCTGCAATGCCCACTCTGGCATGCTTTCTCAGTGCTACAATTCCCCAAGAGTTGCTGCAGAGTCTAAACATATTTTAGGAGTTTAGAAAGATTTAAAGCTTTTCAGTTGGGGCAGGAAACAAAGCATCATAGCTCAAGAACAAATGAGTAAGGTGGGAGGGAAGCAGCACCTGAATAGGTTCTTTTTCTCTTCAAGGCTGCTAGATAAGATTTTGTTCCTTTGCCTGGACTTTTCATTTTAGCCCTGATACAACAGGCAATGTTTCACTCCTGAAAGTTTGTGTCTGAATATCATATTTCATTTCCTTTCCTGAATTTCTAAAAATTAGTAAGAAAATAAAAACAGTCTTCACTGAAGAAACTGACTCAAACCAGTTGCCCTCTATAATTCAGGAAAGAAAAACATTTAGCATTTCAGGATGAAGAGTGCAATATTAATCATAATAAAATATGAGAAAATGCAGGCTTTTGCATTCTCTCCAGGTGATTTCAAACTTTTATTTGTCTCCTATTGCACATGCAAAAGCAATAATAAAATTTAAAAGCATCAGTTTATATAACACAGCATAGTCTGTCCCTCAACATTTTCACTATTTTTTCCCACAAAGCAATTTGAACCTGATATTTATATGTTTTAAAAGCTTTATAAACACAAATCATCCAAAGTTTTATTAAATTTACAGTCATGTCTCCAAGTAGTAATGCTTTCTGTCACTAGAAAATGTTTTCAAAATGGCAATAATTTTAAGGCTTGTATCTATACTATTTAATTAACTAAATAAGGGTTTGGGGTTTTTTCACCCCTTATTTATTAGATAGCAAGTCTGAAAAAAAATTAAAATCCATCCGAGCCCAAGAGGATATTGGTTGTTTCCCAGAAGATCATCGGGAGAACGGATATAGTGACTTTTTATTGCTCTAAGCTTGATTAAATCATAATGCACAGAAATCCTCCCCACCCCACCAAAACATTTCATTAATGGTAAAAT